ACCTGGTGCAGACATTCATCGACGGCATCCGCGACCTGAAAGTCAGAGCTGCTGTGAGGCTCGGGCACCACGAGACGCTTAAGGACGCCTTGGCCCATGCACTGGAGGTGGAAGCCGTGCGGCGGGATCATCGTTCCCATCGCGTCAGGGGAGGTTGCAGCAGCTACAGTTCGCGACTGCAACAAAGGATACAGCCCTAGGTGCTATGGCTGTGGGAAAAGGGGCCATCTTCACTCCAGCTGCCCTAAGCGAAATGTAGAAAGAGGAGTTGATCGATCTCGAGAGGGTAGTGCAGCTAACGGCACCGCCTGGTGGTGGCAGGATCGTCGTTCCCCTCGCGCTAGGGAGGTTGCAGTAGTTACGGTTCGCGACCACAATAAAGGATACAGCCCTAGGTGCTATGGCTGTGAGGAAAGGGGCCATCTTCGATACAGCTGCCCTAAGCGAACCCTAGAAAGGGAAGGTGAACGATCTCAGAAGGGAAGTGCGGCTAACATCACCGCCCAGCAGCAGCCGGGATACGACTTTACTATCAGACATCGGAGCGGGAAATCTCATGGCAACGCAGATGCATTGTCAAGAAGACCTTGTCCTGAAGATCGGAAACATTGTACTAGGCAAGAGAGTAAGGAAGTGGTATCCGTGAGGATGCTCAGGACAAACCACCTCAGCAACGAGTGGAAGGACAGCCTATGACATGCACAGCAGGAAGATCCGGACATTAAGCCGATTCTGGAATGGATGAAGGCCCGTATTACCAAGCCTAAGTAGAGCGACGTCTCAGCGATGAGTTCAACCTCGAAAAGCTATTGGGCCCAATGGGACAGCTTGCAGATTCAGGATGGAGTCCTGTGCTGTAAATGGGACAATTGTCGAGGAGACAGCGGTCGTTTGCAAATGGTTGTCCCTAAAGCTAAAGTGCCGAATGTTCTACAGCTGTGCCATAATGGTCGTTCAAGAGTCCATCTGGGAGTTAAACGAACTCTGCTGAAGGTCCGAGAACAGTTTTACTGGGTCCATTATCGTGACGATGTCGAGGCTTGGTGTCGTACATGTACAAGTTGTGCGGCCGTGAAGGGACCTCAGACTCATAGTAGAGGTGCATTAAAATTGTACAATGTTGGTGCACCATGTGAGAGAATAGCCATTGACGTGGCGGGGCCGTTTCCGGAGGGTGAAAGCGGAAACAAGTATTTCATGGTTGTGATGGATTACTTCACTAAGTGGCCAGAAGTCTTCGCCATTCCAAATCAAGAAGCTTCAACAGTTGCAGATAAACTAGTTCATGAAGTCTTCTGTCGTTTTGGAGTACCTTTGGAGATTCACAGCGATCAAGGAAGGAGTTTTGAGTCTCAAATATTCCAGGAAACTTGCCGAGTTATGGGTACTTATAAAACAAGAACGACTTCTTATCACCCGCAATCTGATGGAATGGTAGAACGATTTAATCAGACATTGGAGAGGTACCTAGAAAGAGTTGTAGACAATCGGCAACGAGATTGGGACAAGTACATACAACCGTTTTTATTGTCATATCGAAGTTCTGTTCACGAAAGTACAGCAGTGACACCCGCTTTCGCAAACTTTGGAAGAGAATTACGGCTGCCTACAGACCTGATCACCGGGATATCACCTGATGCCCCACGCAGTATAACCGATTATGCAAATGACTTGCGGAACAAAATGAATGACATTTATGAGCACGTCAGACAATCAGGCCAGCAAATGTCTGAGAAGATAAAAACCCGGTACGACCGCAAAATGAACAATAAAGGGTTCGACGAAGGTTCACTAGTGTGGTTGCACAATCCAGTACGCAGCAAAGGGAAATCTCCTAAGCTTCAAGCTAAATGCGACGGCCCGTACCGGATTATGACCAGGATCAACGATGTAACCTACCGGATACAGAAAGGCGCAAGAGGTACTCCTAAGATCGTCCATGTGGATCGCCTGGCGCGTTATTATGGGGCCGATAATGCTCGGGACGAGCATGTCTTAGGAGGGGGTAGTGTTGCGCGCCTAAGTTGACGTCATGTACCCGGCACTAGCGCCATCTAGTGTCAGAGACGAGAGCGAGGGGAGCTTTCCAGAAAATGACATCACTAATCTTTCAACCAACAGCGCCATCTAGTCTCGAACCGAAGAATTAAACTTCTAGAAGTTGAAACTCGTGCTCTCGGTACCTTGCGCGTGTTTACTTGAATATTCCGGATATTTCGATGCTAATTTATATTTATAGACGCTGCAAGATGCGATCGGTGAAGTATTGAAGTTGGCGAGACAAGTGAAGCTTCGGAGCGGAATAAAGTGAATCAGTGTGATTAATTATTAGTGTTTTTAACTTTAATTAGTGTAAATTGAATAAAAGTGTTAATTTAGGTAATTCTGTCGGCAATTTTTATTGTCACGAACCTCAAGCTCGTAACAATACTAAGACAGATTGAGCCAAAGTAATATATATTTGGTATAGTCAGTAATTTTTTCGTCTTAGTGTTTTAAATGGACATGTAAGTTTCCTAAGTCTATTCATGATTGATTCAATGTGTCTATGCCATGACAAATGTTGGTCAATTATGACTCCTAAATACTTGGTCCCAGAGACCTTACTAATTAATGAACAGCTGCGACTAGTACTTAAGAGATCATAGCATCTGTGAAATTTAATTTGGAAATTAATATTAGGCTGAGTTCGAATATAATTTGTAAAACATATATAACTAGTTTTAAAAGTATTTAAAGTAAGTGGGTTAATGTTCAGCCACTTAGCGATCCTAGTAAGGCCTTCTTCAGCAGATTTACAAACAGAATCCCAGGAGTCATCAGTAAAGATCACAGCAGTATCATTTGCATAGGAGATTTTGATGAATCATATTCCATACCCCAAGTTATCAATTAAAGAAAGTTAGCCGATACTGCTGTACCAAACTTGAACTTGTGGGGGGGGGGGTAATATCTAGTTGTAATTATGTGAATAGATTAAATAGTTTTATTATTACCCTAAACACGAATATTATCCTTCTTGAAAATATTTTAGAATTTTGACAGGTTTATAATTATAACTTCTTATATTTACGCGAACGCTACAGAATAAATGAAACTAATTTTACGGATTTTATCGCGTTAAATTTTCACTTTTGATTCCATATGTTTCGGGCGCCTTACAGTACGAACTTTAATGTCGCATCTTTGACAAAATGCGGTACGTGCTAAGGTGGTGCCGTACAAAAACGACCGTGTCTAAGTGAACAGAGGGTACACCAAGGAAAATTAAACTAAAAAAGTTTTTATTGTACTTTGGTCATGGATGAAATGAAAATTAAGCAGTTAATACCATATTAACATGAAAATACGATGCTAGCAGCCAAAGGCATTATGGATGTCTACTACGTGTTTGATATTATATCCGATAATTTCGGTGAAGCTACCGACGCATTAGTGTTTTTATTGCTCGGTATAAACACAACGGGGAAGTACCCATAGGAAACTTTTTGATTAAATTTAAATTAAAATCTGAGTTTGATTAGGTGTGCTCGGTGTTTTCATTATAATGAACCTAGAAGTAAGGATACTCACAGTAGAATCAGAGAGACCGACAAAGCCCAACGGATTAATAAGCTGAAGTGGCAATGGACCGGCCATACAATTCGAAGAAACGACTACCGATGGGAGGAAAACGTTCTCGAGTTTCAGCTTCGTACCGATGGGTGAAGTGCAGGGCTAACTCTCAATAGATGGAGTGATAACCAGGTAAGACATTCAGGAAATCGATGGATGCAGATTGATCTGAACCGTGCTTTGTGGCACCCCTTGGGGGAGGCCTATGGTCAGCTATGGACTTGTGAACGGCTGTAGGTAATAAATGAAATAATACTAAAACTCACTTTTGCCAACGCTGAACTTACGCGGACTATGATGATTTATTTATCGATATATAATATCGACATAGTCCTCGCCTTACGGTGCTTACCAGCGGCACCAGTGTATCCACACGTGTACAATTTAATGGCATGCGTAAATGCAATGAACATAAACATAAATGCTGTAGTGCGCGTGTATAATGACGTAATACAATTTTGCATTTGTAGTGAAGTATACAGTAGTGTGTTTTTCTTGTGCGCCCCTGACATTGACGAACTTTTTGTTTAGGAATTTACGCGCATTGCCTCTACAGTTGGTTGAATACTCAAAGATCCCAAACCAAATTAAGACGTGGCTTAAAAGACAAGCATCCAAGTCCAAAATCTTTAAAAAAATTGTAGATTAAATGTAGTCGAAATCGAATGTAGTAATGACCATGGATTATGGTTATAAATTATCTGTGTTAATGACATTAATAATTTCTCCACCAAAAAAATTTTAAAAATTTAAATCAGGAGAATTCTTTACCTTAATATAATATAATTTTGATTAAAAGTTGATCCATGTCCAATTTAAAAGTCTCCTATTTGGTCGTTGGTGGTGGAATAGCTGGAGTCACTTGTGTTGAAACACTTGCGATTCTTCATCCGGAAGAAACCCTTGCGATAATTACCGCCTCGTCGCTAGTTAAAAATGTAAGCAATGTTAGTTTTTTTGCAAAAACCATTGTTAGGTTTGACGTAAGCGAAACCGAAGCTAATTCCTTATTAAAAATTCACCCTAATCTAAACATTATTTATGACTCTTTAAAACATATAAATACAACGCATAAACTTGTTACTACAGATGGTGGTATAACAATAGAATATAACGTAATCTGTATTTGCACGGGAGGCATACCAAGGCTTATATCAGATTCTAATAAATGTAACAGAATTTTAGGCATCAGAGATACAGATTCTGTGAAAGAATTTGAAGAGAAGCTGAAAACTGGCCGTCGAATGGTAATAGTAGGCAATGGTGGCATTGCATCAGAAATTGTTTATGCTACTAAAGGGATTCAGAAAGTGTGGGTGATAAGAGATGATTACATTTCAGCAACGTTTATTGATCCAGGAGCAGCTGAATTTTTTCAAAATACCATGAAGAATAGATCTCCTGAAGTTGAAAAAAATAAGCATACAATTTTAAGAAGACATGTTTTTACAGAAGAAGACACTGTTGTTTCCATAAATAAGAACTTAAAATCGGCTGCCTTAGGACCAGACTGGTATCGTAAACTTGAAAGCATTAAAAGTGAAAATGGAGAACAAGAGCTTGAGATTATTTACCAGGTTGAAGTGGAATCTGTTCAGGAAGTAGACAATAAAGAATATTGCTTGGATGTAAAACTCACAAATGGGAGGACTATATCTTGTGATTTTGTCATATCTGCTACAGGAGTAGAACCTGCAGTAAATTTTTCTTGGGATAAAGAACCCATAAAAGGAAAAGATGGTGGACTAGCTGTGAATGAGAATCAAGAAACAACAGTGAAAGATGTTTTTGCAGCTGGTGATGTTGCTTTTGCTGCTTGGCCTTATGCTCCACACTGGTTTCAGTTAAGGTTATGGACTCAAGCCAGACAAATGGCAGGTATGGCTGCAAAAGCAATGCATGCTAGAATAACAAATCAAGAAGTACTCCAAGATTTTTGTTTCGAGCTGTTCACACATTGCACAACACTTTTTGGGTATAGAGTAGTTTTATTAGGAAAATATAATGGACAAGGTTTAGGAAATGATTATGAAATACTTCTTCGAACAACGCCAAATGTTGAATACATTAAGTTTGTTCTTCAAAATGGGAGATTACAAGGTGCAATATTAATAGGGGAAACTGACTTAGAGGAAATGTGTGAAAATTTGATTTTAGACCAAATAGATTTGACACCTTTTGGTGATGATATTTTGAATCCTGATATTGACATTGATGACTACTTTGATTAAGCAACTTTCATACTAATGTTATGTTTAAATTATTTTAATTAAATAATGTATAATGATAGTGTATATTTATATGTAAGTTTATTATATTTAAAAATAATTATGTAAAATAATGAGATTTTAAACATCCTTTAATGTATTTTTCTCTCTGAATTATTTTAGCATAAAGGATATACATACCAAACCTCATTTCCAAACTGTGATACAGTATCATTTTATAAGTAACTAACAATCTGCCCTGGCTTCACATGGGTTTCTGATATCTGGATTGTACAATAAAGGCACCTATTGCCTATAATCTTTGTGGAAGTGCAAGCAATATGTTGACAAAGTTTTACTGCAATCTGATGAATGGTATGGCAGTGCATAAAATACATGGACTAACAAATATTAATTTTTATATATTAGGTAATAAATATTAAAATAGATCCATATAATTTCAGAAGTATGTATGGTAGAGTCAATTGGTAGATTAGGTCTAGGATAAATTATCATAATGGATGGAGCATTTTGGTTTATAGTGTTGTTTGTCAGTTACAACAAGTTGGTATTAATTAGTGTGCATGACTAAAGAAGTGACTATGCTATATAGATTACAGATTAAATAGTGCTAAAATTAATAAAAAGCATTATAAAGGGAAATCAATAATTAATTTTAACAGGTTTAATGAGCCTCACCAGTAGATGAAATGTTGGATTATTTAAAAATTTTTTAATAATTTGTGCGTTTTACCTTTGTCTACAATGGACCGTAGGCTTTCGCTTAACTGTTATTTTACAAGCAAACTTGTGAGACACTACGGCTTTCTTAACCCTTTTGAGCGCCACGCCAGAAACGCATTCCCGTATCCTGTACGCCAAAGCACTAAATAAACAAAAATACGTATGAAAAAACATCGGTAACATACAGTACTTGTTTTTGTTGGTTTTTTATGCAATAAATGACCAAATACTTATAATCTGGGATGTTTTATTTAATCTTGCACTATCTGCCACTCTTTGTACATATGTACTTAGTACATAAATAAAAAACAAATAAAATCGTGTTATGAGCTTAGGGTACGTGGCAGTAAAAACTGCCGATTGAATTACCAAAATTGACACTTTAATTACTGAACATCAATTAAAACTTAAATCACTAATAATTATTCACACCTAACACTTTAGTTCACTTTATTTCACTGCGAAAGCTTCGCTCGTATCGCCCATTCAATACTGCCCCGATAGCCGCTTTCGACGGCTTTATATAGGTCTTTCCCACCGAAACATCCAGAATATTCCAGCAAATACCGGCCCCGACCGACCAGGTGCAGAAAGTTCGAGTGTGGGGCTTTCTAGAAAGCTTAGTTCTTCCATTCGATACTAGATGGCGCTAGTGGGAGAGTTCTAGAAAGATCTTGACGCTCCTATTTCTGCTGCTTGATACCAGATGGCGCTAATAATCAGCCGCCACATGCCAGGCGCTAATTATAGCGCGCAGCACTGCCCCCTCCTAAGACATGCTCATCCCGAGAATTATCGACCCCATAGTAACGCGCCAGTCGATCCACATGGACGATCTTAGGAGTACCTCTTGCGCCTTTCTGTATCCGGTAGGTTACGTCGTTGATCCTGGTCACAATCCGGTACGGGCCGTCCCATTTAGCTTGAAGCTTAGGATATTTCCCTATGCTGCGGACTGGATTGTGCAACCACACTAGTGAACCTTTGTCGAACCCTTTGTTGTTCATTTTGCGGTCATACCGGGTTTTCATCTTTCCGGACATTTGCTGGCCCGATTGTCTGACGTGCTCATAAATGTCATTCATTTTGTTCCTCAAGTCATTTGCATAATCGGATATACTGCGTGGGGCATCAGGTGGTATCCCGGGGATTAGGTCTGCAGGTAGCTGTAATTCTCTTCCGAAGTTTGCGAAAGCGGGTGTCACTGATGTACTTTCGTGAACAGCGCTTCGATATGACAACAAAAACGGTTGTATGTGCTTGTCCCAATCTCGTTGCCGATTGTCTACAACTTTTGCTAGGTCTCCAATATCTGATTGAATCGTTCTACCATTCCATCAGATTGTGGGCGGTAAGATGTCGTTCTTGTTTTGTGAGTACCCATAACTCTGTAAGTTTCCTGGAATATTTGAGACTCAAAATTCCTTCCTTGATCACTGTGAATCTCTAAAGGCACTCCAAAACGACAGAAGACTTCATGAACTAGTTTATCCGCAACTGTTGAAGCTTCTTGATTTGGAATGGCGAATATTTATGGCCACTTAGTGAAGTAATCCAAAGAAGGAAATGGCCTCGCCACGTCAATGGCTATTCTCTCCCATGGTGCATCTACATTGTACAACTTCAATGCACCTCTACATTACATACACTCTACAGTACATTTGCGACACCAGTTCTCGACATCGTTTCGACAGTGGACCCAGTAGAACCGTTCTTGGATCTTCAGTAGAGTTCGTTTAACTCACAGATGGCCTCTTAAACAATCATTAAGGTACAAATGTAGAACATCCGGTACTTTAGCCTTAGGGACAACCATTTGCAAATGACAGCTGTCTCCCCGACCATTTTCTCATTTACGGCACAGAACTCCATCCTGAAGCAGCAAGCTGTTCCATTGGACCCAATAGCTTTTAGTGGTCGAACTCATCGCTGAGACGTCGCTCCACTTAGGCTTGGGAGCACTGGCCTTCATCCATTCCAGAATCGGCTTGATGTCCGGATCTTCCTGCTTTGTATGTTGTAAGCTGTCCTTTCACTCGTTGTCGAGGTGGTCAGTCTTGAGCATCCTCACAGATACCACTTCCTTACCCTCTTGCCACGTACAATGCTTGCAATTTTCAGGACAAGGTCTTCTTGACAATGCATCTGCGTTGCCATGAGATTTCCCGCTGTGATGTTCGATCACAAAGAAGTATTCCTGCAATAGCTCAATCTGAACAAAACATACAAAATTTTGAAATGCAATATCTATTTTAGTGCAGCATGGTCAGTTCGTAAGTGAAATTTTCGCCCCAGAAGATATTTGCTAAAATGCTGCAATGACTTTACCACAGCTAGCAATTCACGTCTTGTGACAAAATAGTTTCTTTCCGGTTTTGACAACGACTTGCTGAACTACGCTATCGCAACCTCTCGATCACCGTTTCGTTGAGATAACACAACGCCAAGTCCTGTATCACTTGCGTCTGTGTCAACTATAAATTCCTTGCCTGCATCAGGGTACCCCAGTATAGGTGTTTTGTAAAGACAGTCCTTGAGCTCCTGGAATGCGATGACGCACCTTCCGTCCCAGCAGAAATGTCGCTTCTCCTCGGTTAGCTTGTGCAGAGGTTTGGCTATATCTGAAAAGTTATTCACAAATCGCCGACAATGGGAGCAAAAACCCAAACTTGCAGGACAAGACGCAGGTTAGAACCTGCGTCTTGCCTTTTGGAACCGGCCAATCCTTGACAGTGGCGATTTTCTCTGGATCCGTGCGGTTACATACCTTCTTCCGATACTACATACCCCAAAAAGTTTACTTGCCATTTGAATAGTGAACATTTTTTCGGACTAAACTTGAGGTTGGCACTCTAAATCTTCATAAGCACGCGTTCCAGGTTTTGAAGGTGCTCCTCAAACGTACAGCCTACGACGATGATGTCATCCAAGAAGACCAGATAGGCATCGCCAATTAGCCCGGTAAGTACAAATTCCATCAACCTTTCAAACGTTGCTGGAGCATTGCACAATCCAAACGGTATTACTTTAAATTACCACAGACCCTTTCCCGTCGAAAATGCAGTTTTCTCCTTATCCTTAGGGCCAATTTCAACTTGCCAGTAGCCAATTTTTAGATCCAGCGTGCTAAACTACTTTACTCCAGTAAGCATGTCTAGCGTGTCATCAATTCTTGGCAAGGGATACTGTCCTTCTTTGTAACGTCGTTCAGAAGGCGGAAGTCAACACAAAACCGCATGCTGCCGTCCTTCTTCTTTACTAGCACCACGAGTGAACACCATGGACTAGATGAAGGTTCAATAACACCATCCTTCACCATTCCCTTAGTCATGGTTTCCACTTCCTTTTCACGTGCTCCGGCAATCTTCTTGGCCGCTGACGGATAGGCAATTCTTCTCCTGTGTTTATTTTGTGTTGAACTAAGCCAGTCTTTCCTATGTCAGCATCGTTTGATGAGAATACATCGGCATACTTGAGTAACAACTTCTTTGCCTTGACCATTTCATTCGGGGAGAGAACGCTGTGACAGCCTTCTAAAAGTGTGGTCACTCTTGTTTGTGCATCCTTGCTGGGGGTCCAGTCGATAGATATTGGCACCGACGCAACCAATCCACTTCCTCACAAGTGCCAACCAGTGTGCCTTTTTCTACAATCTGTTCCTGGTCACAAAGGTTCAGCACAAGTAGTCCTGAGATGTTAGTGGTTCTGGCCAAGGTTCAAGCCACTTTCCATGGATGGTCATGTTCTAACCTTTCCACGAGTACACAACGATGAGCTTGCCCAGGATCCCGAGAAAGACTAACCAGCACAATCGTTTCCGATCTCGGCGAAAAAACAATCTTCTTAAGGCTGTACACGTTCCCTGGTAACGGCCCTTCCACGAAAAGTTCCTCTTGTCCACAGTCCAGTCCAGTTTTTCTGCCGAGTTGTACAGTTTTTCTGGGAGGGGGGGGGGCAAAATTCCGCTCAAGACTACAACTGTTCGGGGCAAACGGAGCAACAAGACCAAGGCGACCCCTGCCAAGCTATCCGTGAATTTCTGCAATATCAGGGACTTCACTCTAACCTAAACGACGTCCACTACCATCTCGAGACGGCAAGGCCGGCTCTGCTCTTTCTAACCGAGACGCAGGTGTCCTCTCCGGCTGATGTCTCGTATCTCTCCTGCCCGAGGTAAAAACTGGAAAACTCTTTTGTGCCTCGGGCTGGAGTTCGCGTTCACGTCAGAGAGGACATCTGTTCTTGACGCCTCGGCAGTCTTGAAGGTTCGGACCTGTCCA